GTTGCTGTCATCGGAGGTGGGGATTGCGATCGAGTTCCTTCTTGATTTCTGAAATAATTGTGCAATGCTGGGCGGTTTAATTCGTCCTGTGCTCGATTGTGGGCGGTTATTACGGATGCTAGCCGCAGTTTCTTGGATGCTAGCAGCAGTTTCAGCTGCACTCCTTTTCTTCCTCAGTCTCTTCAACCCCTTGATCCGCCTCTGCAACTTGACTTCTCCACACGGCCAGAGAATTCCTGATCATGAAGAATGCATGTCGGCTGCCACCGGAGCTGCGGACTTGTTTCACGGTGATCCTCCTGCTGCTGCTGCTGCTGACCTCCGCCGCCGCCGGAGCTGCCGACGACGCGGCCGGTCCCGCCGGAGCTTTGCGGACTGGATTTCATTTCCAGCTGCGCAGGAACTGGATGAATGATCCCAATGGTATATATCTCGTTCTTTTCCGCACAAATTATCGCCCGGTCTGGTTATTTGCTTTGCCCGCTCGCCGTTCTTCGCCGGTGTTTAGATCTCCTTCATCCATTTCGTTCTGCACTTTAGGGTGTGTTTGGTTCCTTGGGCCGCACCTGGCTCACACCCGGCATGTAAATTCTAGCCTGTTTGGTATCCTATTTGATACTCCCTTTGTTCCAAATTACTCGTCGTGGTTTTAGTTTCGGGGGAGGGCCCCCCGCCCCAACATAGCTCGCCAGTGTGCATGTGCATGAGACTCATGGGTTTGGAGGGGTGGGCATTTTAACCAAAACCAAACAACCAAATCAACAAAATCAGGACCGGGCCAAAATAGGTTCACCAGATTCTTGGTTGCGGAGTCTGAGAAGGAGGTAAATGCACCGGTGCTTCCACTTGTCGTGAATGATCACTTTGGTGCTTGCAGTTGTGGAATATATAAAAGTTTTTCAAAAACTTTGCTTTTGTATGAAATACGACGCACTCATCGTCTGTAGGCATTAACTTTGTTGAGGTGGGGCCGTATCTCCATCCGTAGCCATCTATGTTGCCTACATGTCATCACGTGGGTCCAATCTGTCAGCAAGCAATACATAAAATTGAAATTGATAAAGTCACTGGGATTCGAACCAGCATCCTGTTGCTATCCCACCCGCGTAGCTAACTACCACTCCCGATGACACTTCATGTCTTACAAGGATGGATAAAAACGGTGAAGATTTGTATTAAACACGTGAACACTTTCTAAAACTATACAAATATTTTCATAATTCATAATTATTTATTTAATTACGTGGGTAATTTTATGAAATAATATGTGAATATTTTTATCATCAAGAATCAATATTAATTTGTTGCAAGGGTCATGCATGGAGCATAGCTTACAAATCACATTACAAAGAACAATAGGTCCAAATTCTGAAATTTCTCAAGGAGATCATACCTTCGGGATGACCACATTGGCAATTCAATTTTATGGTTTGTGGCATATCTTCTCCATTCAGGAAGCTTAGACGGCTTTCATGGCTAACTCCTATTTAGCGCCTATAGCGCCAGTTAGAGGAAAATTGTATACATCACGCTACCTCATTCCTGTGCTAGATTACTTGGGCCGACTCATGAATACAGGTTCCTGTGAAGCTCCAATGGTAGAGCTTCCAATCACTGTTTTTTGTTCATTTTTCGTTTCTGGTTTTTTAGGGCCTGTTTGGATCAGTGCCAAAACCAACCCAGCCAATTTATTTGCGTTGACTGTTGTGTGGGCAACTGTCTGGAAAGGAGCCAATTTTTTGGTGCGCCCTGACTCGCCCATCCTTCCATTTCACTTTGCGTGGATTTTGATGCCAATTGTTGGCAAATCGTGGGTGGGCGCTGGCTTCGCCAATTTTTTGGCGTGCCCGGGCATTAGCAGGGCTAGCTCGGGCTAAATCCAAACACAACCTTAGCTCAGTTTTTTCGATGTTTTATTTATTTTTCATTTTTTTCTTTAATTTTTATTTTCTAAATACATGAACCTTTTTTCAAATTCATGAAAGTTTCCAAATTTTGAACTTTTTCAAACTCAAAATATTTTTCAAAATGATGGACCTTTTCAAATTCATAAACCTTTCTTAAATTCACAAACATTTTAAAAATTTGCAAACGTTTTCAAATTTGAGTTTTTTCCCCAAACTCGTGCACTTTTCTTAAACTCAAGAAATTTTACAAAAATTGGTCAAGTCATTTCAAATCCATAATTTATTTCTGATTTTACAATTTTTTTCTGAAATACATGATTTTTTTCTTCATTTTCACTATCTTTTTTGCATTTTCAAACATTTTTTAAATTCATGAACTTGTGTTTCCAAATTCCATGCACTCTTTTTATGTTTAATTTTTTCGAAAGTTAATGGTCAACGACCGTGGTCAATGGTCATTGGTTACCAATCGATGGTCATAGTCAATGGCAACAGACTGAAAAATCGGTGCTCAAATGCTCCATGGGCCGCGACACACACACCTCGTGGGTGAGCGCCAGCAGCCTAAACGAATGCTATAAGCGCCAATTAAGAGCTTTGGCTATCATGATATAATCCTTAATCAAGGACAATGCTCTTGCTAAAGGCCGACAATAAGGGCTTTTGAAGGGTCCATATCTAATAGTGTTTTGCCCACTTTCAACTTCACAAAAAAAACCCTGCCTTTGCCATGTGTTGCGGATACGTTGAGGGTCTTTTCGATTCATATAACTCGAAAAATACGGGAATATAAAAAATGATTATAGTGTTATGTTCACTTGAATCTTACGAGATAGCATGTGCACATATTTAGTTCAAAAGGAATTTTATAACAAATTTTGATGGTTATATCCCTTAGAAGCTCTTCTCTACATAATTTGTTTTCTCCGTAGAATCGGAACACCGTATGATTTTCTTCATATAGTTTAGTTCACATGCAGTTCTAAATGGAAAAACTTCCCATCTATCTCCTCTAGAAGAAGAATGCCTTCTGTGCCTATTACAACTATGGCGTTGCTATTTTTCGTCTGTTGTTGAAGAAAAATGGCTTGAATCTAGCCAGGCATTGCTATTTTTCGTTTGTTGATGAAAAACATCCCAAAAAGGCGTCGCTGAGGGCAGGCAGCGTGCTCGCCAAGTCGCGGCGCAGGGTCACGGACAGCTGTCCAGTGCAGGGCAGAAACCCACCGCGCGCGCGCACTGGAGACTGCCCGGCGGGCCCCACCGGATCCCCTCGACCCTCGCGCCGCGTGCCGCGCCGAGGCCAGGCCACGGTTACAGTTACGCCCCGCCCCGAGTGACGTCATCCTCCGCCTCCTCTCTCTCTCTCCCCGCACCCTCCACGCCCAAATCGGCACCGAGCCGCCCCAAATCCGGCGCCGCCGCCGCGTCCCTCCTCCGGCGGCACGCACGCAGGCGGCGCTGCTCGACCGACTCGCAGGTGCGGTTCCATCGATCCATCCTCCCGCACCGCTGCTTTGGATCACTGCTCTCTCGCTTGGGTAACTGTTTCAGTCGCGTCGCTCTCGCGCTTGATCAGTCAGTCGGAGGTTGCCACCCGTCGTTTCCGGGGGTGCATTGCGAGCGTGCGGTGTCGGCGCTCCCCGCTCGCGCCGTGTCGCTGTTGGTGGATTTTTTTTTTTGGTTCGTTCGTCGCCATGGGTCGGCCGTTTCGTTGCGTCTGTCGCTGTCGATGCGAGATGGTTTGTGGGGGATCAACTTTTGATCCGTCGTCTCTGTTCTCGTGCGTGCGTGCTTGCTTGCGGGTGTGATTCCGAGCCGCTTTTGATCCTTGAGATCTCTGGAAAGTGCAAATGCTGGGTGGTTTAATTCGTCCCGTGCTTGATCGTGGATGCTAGCGGCAGTTCCTCTGCTGCGGAGATTTATTTAATTATTTACGGGATTTTTCTTCGGATATTTCTGACATTCCGATACGTTTGGCTTCGCTGCAGGTTGTTCACGGGTGGGAGCCGCCGCCATGCAGGAAGCTCCCCTCGCTCCGGCCCACCCCGTGGCATTCGGGTTCTGGCCCAGACCCGTGTGCATCCCCGCCGCCGACGGGCTCTTCTTCTACGGCGGCTGCACCCCCTTCGCCCCGTGCCCCAGCCCGTCGCCGCTCGGCACCCCCTTCGCCCCGTGCCCCAGCCCGTCGCCGCTCGGCACCCCCTTCGTCCCGTGCGCCAGCCCGTCGCCGCTCGGCACCCCCTTTGTCCCGTGCGCCAGCCCGTCGCCGCTCGGCACCCCTTTCGTCCCGTGCTCCAGCCCGTCGCCGGGCGGCAGCCCCTTCACGCCGAGCCCGAGGCTTCCGCCGCGCGCCGCCCCCTTCACCCCGAGCCCCAGGCCGTCGCCGCGCGCCACCCACTTCACCCCGAGCACCGGGACCTCGTCGGGCAGCACCCTCTTCACCCCGAGCCCCAGGACGCACCCGAGCGGCACCCCCTGGTCCTCCTCCACCTCCGGCTCCCGCGTCGACGATGCGGCGGCCACGGAGCACCGCCTGCATCTGGCCCGCCTCGCGCTCCAGTGCCAGGACGCCACCAACCGCTACGAGCTCTGCCTCAGCCACCTCGCCGACGCCGCGCGCGAGGCCGCCGCGCTCCGCCTCGAGAACTCCGAGCTCCGCATCATCAACAACGACCTCGCCGGCCGCTTCGCCATGCTCGGCGGCAACCAGGCCTCCGCCGTCGCGCTCGCCGGGCAGCTCCGCGGCCTCCAGCTCGGGCAGATGCCGGTGCCGGTGCCGGTGCAGGCCGTGGCGTCTCCACCGGTGCTGCCCATGCCCATGGCGGGCCCCGCCTCCCCGGCCGAGAAGCACGCGGTGATGCCCAAGAGCATCTCCATCCGCTCGACGGGCTACCTGAAGATGGCCAGGCGCGGCAAGCATCGCGCGACGAAGCCGATGGACGTCGGCTCGGTGAGACCATCGAATCCCAACCCCTCCACTCGTTCGGCTGAATCCCGCGCTTCTGTGCCATGCCGCTCACCTGTTCGACGATTTGCTGGTGTCTGTGCCATGCGAGCAGCAGCGCGTGTTCGTGGGCGTGGACGTGGGCGGCGGCAAGGCGGAGGAGCACCAGGGCGGCAGCGCCGGCGGCGACAGGCGCGGCCAGGTGGTCAAGTCGGCCAGCGGGCTGGAGTTCGAGGCGTACAGCCAGGGCATGTACAAGACGGAGCTGTGCAACAAGTGGGAGGAGACCGGGGCGTGCCTGTACGGCGACCAGTGCCAGTTCGCGCACGGCATCGCCGAGCTCCGCCCCATCATCCGCCACCCGCGCTACAAGACCCAGGTCTGCCGCATGGTCATCGGCGGCGGCCTCTGCCCCTACGGCTACCGCTGCCACTTCCGCCACTCCATCACCCCCGCCGACTAGATCCCGCTCCTCCACCCCTGATCGCTACACATGGCAATGCTCCATCGCCGACGGCCACTCACTCTGCTCGCTTCACTCCTTTTTCTGAACAATTGGAGAAATTCGTCACATGATTTTTTTCGAGGAACATGTCGAGCATAGATGGCAATGATATGGCAATACTATAGTTTTCGTTGCTCTTTTTTCTCGGGATCTTTGTTCGGTTGTTCCAGTTCACAACTGTAGTCTGCCGGACAATGGCTCGACCGCTTGAGGTCAGGTGTTTGTTTCCTGAACGGTCACTAACGATGGATATGCCGCTTTGTTCCCTGGTTGCGTTTTGAGTGCAGATTACTTGTAGAATAGTGATGTAACTAGAAGTATTTCACTGATGTTATTTGGGTACTTCTGACTGGAAAGTGTGCCCAGTCGACTTTCAGCTGTGTTGTACTGTTGTTTCTGGGAGTACAGATTTTCAAGGAAGGTGCACACAGTGGTTCATTCAGTTCGCGTTTTTGAGGTTTATATACTTGTTCATGGTTCCTTCCTGTCTCCTGAACCGCAGTTATCCAAATATGTTTCTAAAATCACATGAACCATCAGCTCTGGTTTGGTTGCAGATTGTCAATCATAATTTTGCATCTGAACTTTTTGACCTGAAAGAATCGCCATGAATCTGCACTGGACACTGGCAAATAACTGAGTTGACATTTAGTTCCTCGGTTCAGAAATATTTGAAGTTCTAGGTTTGTCATAAGTCAAACCTATTTAAATTTGAGCAAGTTTATGTATATTCATCATGGTCACATGTGGACTTACAGTCTGACAGATTTGCACAGTAGCCATCTCAACTTCACTGGGCTCAAATCACCGTCCTCTCTTGCTTCCAAGTTAAATAGGTCGTGGAGAACCTTGCAGCCTATATGCCTTGCCAACAGCTGATTAACACGCAGAGCATATAAACATGCAACACCACATGCTAATCCAAGGCAAAATCAACCTATGATTCCTCGCAAAAAATAAAATAAAATAATCAACCTATGATGCAGGGCGACGGTCTTTGGATCATCTATGTTAATACAAACTTCATACCCTTAACTTGCTGAAAGGCTTTAGTCCAGCTGCAATAAAAATTAAGAAAACAAAAACAAACAGTTAGTATAAGAGATGTACGATCACGACAGAAAAAGCTTGTACATGAAGAGACAACGAAAGGAGAGATAGCATTACAACTTGTTTTTATATGCATCAAAATCTTCAGCAGTTTCACTCCAAAGAGCCCTCTAGTTGTCTCCCTAGAATAAATAAAAAAGCACAATTAGAACTGAAGCTACGGCATGCAAAATATTCTGACATGCCACCATGCACAAATAAATCTACAAACTACGTTCTCGAGCTGAGAAAGACACTTTCTAAATGGGACATTCTATTGGTAAGTCTCAAGGTTCTCTTCGACTTGGAGGTCCTAGCAAGTCCACAGTGACAACAGGTGATACACCTCTTACTATACTAATCACATCTATAGATATAGGGAAGGCCCAATATTCATGTAAAACCTGGTAGATAGTAGTGCCAATGAAGCACAATAAAAGACAAATATACACAACATGTTTTTTTTGCTAATTACCTGCAAGGTAAGTCTTGTCACTGATGTTACTCAGTATACTCTAGAACTACTTAATCTTGTAAATATAGCGCAGGTTACTTTCAGGCACGGGGTGAATCTCTATATATCTATTTCATCCTCCAAACCACGAAACAATGGTCCACATCACGAAAGGAATATTTCACTGCCTTGATCTCCAGAAATTCCAGATAAATAATCATGTCACATAAACTTCTCTAAATGTGCTCCGGGTATGGAACATTGAGTGGAGCAACCCTCATCCGAATTTCAAGAAAGAGTTATCACAAACCACAACTTCCAATGAACATCGTAGGACAATAAAACAAACAGAAAGACATAAACAAAAATTTAAAACACCAAGGCAAAAGCAAGGACCAATCTTTATCTTTTTTTAAGATGTCCATTGCTTCGTCTGGGTGCGAAGAACGGTGGAGCACCATGGTGAACAGCTAATTTCATCCACTATATGGTAAATGTAAACAAGATTCTTTTGAAGCTAATCCGAGAGTGTAGGCTCAGCTGTTAGCAATAAGTGTGCACGTTTGGAAGGAAGAAAACCTTGGTTTAATAGATGTCCATAACTCTTTACTAAACATAGAAATAAAAAACACAATGGCCCTTTTCCATAGCAATGAAACAACATGTGTCTACATAAAAAATACAGCAGCGGCTAATGATGTACTGAAATCATGTGTAACCTTCACCCAAAAACCTCAATGGAAACACACCAAGGATGGTATGTTTTTACCATGGAACCAACATACAGGGCACTAAATCTGGCAGTCGGTTCGAATGTATGAAATTACCGAGGAAGTTCGATCAGAAACACCAAACCGAACCGAAGAATAAAAAATACCGTCCGTACAGATCTCATCATAACATTGGCTTATGTAGCACTAATTGATGCCCAAAGAAAACTTGTCTTACTTAATGTATTCATTATCATAAAACTTATTTTTTTTTGCTAAGCAACGGAAGGGAAAAGGGTCCCTGCTCACCCCATCTAAAGTAACAGAGCACTGGGGCCTATAAACCAGGAACCACATGCACAAAAAGCGAAAATGCAAACCAACCATCTTCACTACAAACTCCCAAGCTCAATCTAACCATATATTAACACCTATCCTTTCATCCACCATGAAAATGTGGCATTGAAGCAACTCATTCTTCACACAATGTAGGTTGACAGAACTAAATAGAATAGCCATAGCATCAGCAAGGCACAACTAATGGACCGACCAAGAAATGAAAGAGGCACCTCACACTGAATTAACTAGACCAAACTGCAAAACCAATTGACCTGGTGTTGATAGTTCAGGGGGGGGGGTTAATGGGGACAATTCAAACATCATATGATTAATCTCACAACAAATCCAGTTGTGCTAATGTTTCCTTTATAAGCCTTACGGTACAGGTAGCATTTAGATGTGTGCATAACAATGAGCGTGAGACTATAAAAGAACAACAAAAAGGAGCCTGCCAGTGATATTGCCGCTAGAAGAAACAAACGATGGTCGTTGCATACATGTAGGTGTACTTAAGTGTGAGAAGAAAATTGCACTTGCAGTGAACTGAATATCTAAATATCATGCATATTATTGGATTCTCTAGATGAAAATATCATGTGTTCTAAACAAGAGCATGAATTCATCAATAACAAGAGCATGATATTTTCATCTAGAGAATCCAAAAATATCATCTAGAGCCAAGAATCACTTCTCTAGATGAAAATCTCATATCTCACACAAATCGCTGAATTCATGCTCTTGCAAGCCATATATGACAAATTTAGTTCCATGTTTGTTGTAATTTAACACACCCCATGATTATGAGGAATTGCAAATTAAGATGGTTGCATGTGCTCTTACCGGAATTGGCTGGTCTGTGACAGCAACAAAAACACAGAGAAGTGATTCTTGGCAAATGGGTTGCCAGTACAAACATTAGAACAACTCAGCCAATGGATATGGCTAGAACAATTATGGTTCACTGCTTGTCGAGGGCACCACAGGTGAATTTGCAACAATGAGGAAGTCATGGTCCGCTTGAAGTGCTTGAAGTCTGCAGTTTCATATTGGTTGCTCCCCTAGCTAATCCACCTTCCAAACTGCCTGAGTCAAATCAATAAAATCTTAGGTCCACTATGAGTATGCAAGACAATCAGAAACAACTGGATATATTGTCTTAAAGAAACAAATGAAAATCACTCAGAAAAGATTCAAGGTTTGGTAATTTTTCCTGAATCCCAATCAATTCAGCAACCAAACATGTTAATCATCCAAGGGAGATTCAAGCTTTAAAAACTCATTGACAATTCACTCAAGAGGAACACATCGGCATGAGCACTTGCTGAGGTGCACGACGTGAGGAGGAGCTTAGCCAGATCCATTCTGTTGCCTCTCCTTTGGAACTCTATGAGTGAATCAAGGAGGCAGAGATCGCGATGGGGTGGTCTATGAGTGAACCAAGGAGCCAGAGATGGCGATGGGGTGGTAGCGGGATAGAGAGCGGAGGGATGCAAGGGTGGAGAATAGATGGAGACTGGGGCAGCCGCACTGACGGTTCTCGGAGAGGAACAGGAGAAGCCTCGCCGACAACATGCGAATAGGAGGGAGGGCGGCCATGGCGCCGGTAGGCCGAGAGGAGCGTGAAGACAACGGCGAAGCGGGAGGTACCGCCGGGAAGGAGATCCGCGACGGTGGCACGACGGCGGACGGGCACAGTGGCAGGCCAGAAACCCTAGCACCGGCGCTTGGAGGTGAATGAGGTAAAGAGGTACACGAGGGGTGTTGCGCGGCCGTGCGAGCGAGAGGCCGACGAAGACCGACCGAACACAAGTTAAACAACCAACTATAGTGGGCCTACTGACAGCGATACATCCACTTACAAATGGGCCAACCAACGCCCTCCAAAGCCCCAACGAACCAGAGCGCAGCATTTCATGGGAGCTTAATATCTGTACCGATTCAGTGTAGTTTCATGAATAGACACTAATGATGACTAGATAAGGGGTGTACGAAAGCTTATGCTTTCTCAAATGTTAGAGCAACTCCAATGGGACAAAAACGCGGACCCAAACCCAAAATGTGTCTGCTTCGTGTTTGTGTCGACGCATTTCAGGTCCAAATTTGGGTCCGAAATGCGTCGGCGCGGACACGAAGCGGACGCGCCGCGCGTCCCCTCGGTGTCCGTCGCGGTCCCACATGTCAGTCTGCCAACGACCACACACAGTCGTACACACCTCGGGCCCACCCGGCAGTATGTGGAAGGGCCGCGTGCCTATACTTTTTATTGGAAGCGTGTGGTGGGCCCCATCTCATCCACTTGCATCTTCCTCGTCCACATCTGGCCATACTTGCTCCCTTGCGGCGGCCAGAAAAACCTAGCCAATGAAACCCTAGCCAGCCAGCCACCAGCCATGCGCTTCTTCAATGGGAGGGGGAAGGGGAGGTTCAACTCCGGCGCGAACTCTTCCACGCGCTTCCTCTGCCGGCTAGACACGGCTGTACATACCAGTCCACCAGGCGTGGTTGCACTGGCAGTACCGCCAGCCCCTGCAGTATCGGGATGTCAACCTACCGCACGGGTGGCATCTGGACCCGCACCGGATCCCTATTCCGGCAGCGCCGCGTCGCACGCTGAGGAGGTTCGCCGTCATCGTGAGGTCCTTACGCCCGAGCAGCACGCGATGCATGCCTACGCGCCAGACTCCCCCAACTGAGAGTGTTGGTTTGCGCTAGAGCGTCGTTACCCGAGCAGACAAAATGGGGCTCGACTATGTTCGTTGTTGGGCCAAATTAACCCATTGTGGTCGGACTTGTTGTCCGTCATCAATATCAAGAAAGGGGTTGGAGGTCTCTGCGCACCCATTATCAAGGAAATTATAGAAACCTCTTCACAATTGTGGGTTCGTTCCTTTATCTTCAAAGGCCGTGACACAAATCATGAGGCTCATAGCCTCGCTAAATATGCTTAAGGCCCACCGTCAGGACGCCGTATGTAGCTCCTCAATCCCCTGGCATAAAACTGTATTCCCATGTATTTGGACCTTGTTGATGAATAAAGTGAAGTGCGTTTAAACTAAAAAAAGAAGACCAACTTTTTTTAGCATCAGTACAGACACAAGCGCTCATATACACGCGCATACACTCACCCCTATGAACGCACACACGCACACCCAACCCCCATGAGCATCTCCAAGAGACTGAGCCGGCATATCATCTTGAGATTTACGAAGCCGCTGTCCACGTAACCATCTCAACCACAGGTTGGTTAGCAAAAGAAGACCAACTTGACAGGTTTAAGCTACGGAGAAACTTACATGTGGGGCCGGAGGGCGCCTCAATTTACACAGGCCGTGCCAAGCAAAAAATAAAAACGTGGACGTGCAGTGGCACACCGCGGGTTGTGGATGGTGGAGCCGTGCTCGCCAAGTCGCGGAGCACGGTCGCCCACAGCTGTCCAGCGCAGAGACGCACCGCGCGCGCACACTGGACACACCGGCCTACCCCTGGTTCAGGACACTGCCACGCGGGCCCCACCGGATCTTCTCGACCCTCGCGCCGTGGCCACGGTTACATTCAGTGCCCAGTGACGTCCTCCTCCCTCTCCGCCCAAATCCGCACCGGCCCGTCCCACGTCGAGCGCCGCCGCATCCCTCCTCCGGCGGCACGCACGCGGGCGGCGCCCCGTCGGCCAACTCGCAGGTGCGGTCCGATCGATCGATCCTCCCGCGCCGCCGCTGCTTTGATCAAATACTCGATCGGTGATTGATTATTTCGGTTGCGTTCGCTCTCTCGCTAGATTATTTCGGTATCCGTCCTTCGTTTCTGGGTGTGCATTGATGCGGGTCGTGTCTGTGCTCCGAGATCGTTCGTGTCGTGTCTCTGTTGGTAGATTGATTTTTCCTTTTTGTTCGCCGCCATGGATCGGGCGCTTCGTTGCTGTCGACGAACTTCTGATCCTGCGCTTTGGTGTTCCGATTGTGATCGAGTTCCTCTGATTTCTGAAACGACGGGTGGTTTATGTGCTGCACTAGCGATTTATTGATGGGATTTTCGTCGAATATACTTGTGACATTCCGATCCATTTGGCTTCGCTGCAGGTGCAGGGACCCGCCGCCGCCGCCGCCATGCAGGAAGCTCCGCTCCACCCGGCCCACCCCGTGCCCTTCGGGCCCAGGCTGCCGGGCTTCCGCGATCGCCGCCTCTGCGCCCCCACCGGCGACGGGGTCTTCTCCTACGGCAGCTGCGCCCCCTTCGTCCCGAGCCCCAGGCCGTCCCCGCTCGGGCGCGGCAGCCCCACCTTCACCCCGAGCCCCAGGTCCTCGTCGCCCGGCACCCCCTGGTCTTCCTCCGCCTCCTCCTCCTCCGGCTCCCGCGTCGACGCGGCGGCCACGGAGCACGGCCTGCGCATGGCCCGCCTCGCGCTGCAGTACCAGGACTTCGCCAACCGCTACCAGCTCTGCCTCTCCCACCTCGCCGACGCCGCGCGCGAGGCCGCCGCCATCCGCCACGACAACTCCGGCCTCCGCCTCGCCAACGACGTCCTCGCCGGCCGCTTCGCCATGCTCGCCGGCAACCAGGCCTCCGCCATCGCGCTGCCCGACCAGCTCCGCCGCCTCCACCTTGGGCAGATGCCTGCTCCCCCGGTGGTGCCCATGCCCATGCCGCGCCTCGCCTCCCCGACCGAGAAGCCCCGCCCCCTCCACCTCGGGCAGATGCAGGCGCAGGTCGTGCCGGCTCCCCCGATGATGCCCATGACGCGGCCCGCCTCCCCGGCCGAGAAGCACGCGGCGATGCCCAAGAGCATCTCCATCCGCTCCAACGGCTACCTGAAGATGGCGAGGAACGGCAAGCATCGCGTGACGGCGCCGGTGAACGTCGGCTCGGTGAGATCATCGAAACCCAATCCCTCCATTCCTCCGACTCAATCCCGCGGCTCTGTGCCAATCCAGTCCATGCCGCTCACGTGTTCGAGCATTTGCTTGTGTCGATGCAATGCGAGCAGCAGCGCGTGTTCGTGGGCGTGGACAGCGCCAAGGCGGAGGAGCACCAGGGAGGCGGCGGGGAGAAGGGCGGTCAGGTCGCCACGGCTGCCGGCGGGCTGCAGTTCGAGGTGTACAGCCAGGGCATGTTCAAGACGGAGCTGTGCAACAAGTGGGAGGAGACCGGGGCGTGCCCGTACGGCGACCAGTGCCAGTTCGCGCACGGCATCGCCGAGCTCCGTCCCATCATCCGCCACCCGCGCTACAAGACCCAGGTCTGCCGCATGGTCTTCGGCGGCGCCCTCTGCCCCTACGGCCACCGCTGCCACTTCCGCCACTCGATCACCCCCGCCGACTACTCCCCCCTCCTCCACCCCTGATCGCCGACGGCCACTCACTCTGCTCGCTTCACTCCCTCACTCCTCACTCCTTCCTCCCCCTTCGTATAAACTATATATATGCCACATTGGAAAACAAACCAAAGACACCAAAATGGGAGACGTAAATAAGGCAAAATTTTGATTTAGATGCACAGAAGCAAACGGCACTTCAGTCAAGAGAGTTAGGACATGCAGGCAAAAATGTGAATATTTGAGCTGCTTTGTGGGTTACTTTACATTGGGATTGATCTGGGATTCTGGATCATCAGAGAGGTAAATTATGTGTTGGGGGGTTGTTCCTTACATGGTCATCAGATCTGTTAGTATTTGAGTACACCATTGGTGTTATTTTGATACTGTCTTGTGGAAGGAAGTTCAGGCTACTTGAGACTTCAGTTATATTGTTTTTCTTGACAATTGGAGAAATGAGTTACTCCTATATGATTTTTGAAGGATGTCGAGAATAGATGCCAATGATATGATTTGCCTATAGTTTCTGTGGGTCACATGGGTTGATCTGGGATTCTGGATCGTCGGATAGGTGAATTTATATGTTGGGGGGTCCTTTCTTACATGGTTTGTTATATAGCCATTGGTTACAGTTACACAAACTTGTTCCTTAGATGCGTTTTGAGAGGTAATTATCAGCGTAGCGATGTAACTAAACCTGAGTAGATCATTGGTGTGATTTTGGTACTGTCTTCTGGAAGGAAATTCAGGCTACTTCAGACTTCAGTCATATTGTTTCCCTGGACAGTTGGAGAAATGAGTTAGTATATGATTTTTTAGGAGCATGTCAAGCATAGATGCCAGTGATATGATTTGCCTATAGTTTCTGTTGCTCTGTTTTCTCCTCATCTTTAAGCCTGGTGTTCCGAGTCCTAACTGCAGTCTCAAAACATACATAACATGTCGTACATAATGAACCGTGAATATGTGCTGATCAACGGTGGCTAGTCTGTCAGTAATTATCGTACATAAGCTTGATGTGCCAGTTTCCTAGTTGCTTTTTGAGTGTAGATTACTGCCGGAGTAGTGCTGTAACCAGACGCGTTACCGTCTGTGTATTTCACTGTCGTTATTTGGGTAATTCTTACCGGAGTACTGATCTTATAGGGACATGTCCATATTGTTTGTTTCTAGTCTCTATTGCCTTGTCTGTCTGGAACTTTAACATTGATGTAACTGAATTGTCGGTGTAGCCATGTAACTAAATCTGTTAGTGTTTGAGTACCCCATTGGTGTTATTTGGTTTCTGTCTTCTGGAAGGAAGTGCTGCAGTCAACTTCAGACCTCAGTTGTATTGATTTTCTGAACAATTGGAGAAATGAGTCGTATGATTTTCCGAGGAACAAGTCGCGCATAGATGCCAATGATATGGCAATTCTATAGTTTCCATTGCTCTTTTTTCTCGAAATCTTTAAGCTTGTTGTTCCAGTTCCCAACTGCAGTCTGCCGGACGGACAATGGCTCGACCGCTTGAGATCAGGCGTTTGTTTCCTGAACAGTCGTCATTAACGATGGATGCGCCAACTTTGTTCCCTGGTTGCGTTTTGAGTGTAGAGTACTGCCGGATTAGTGGTGTAACTGGAAGTATTTCAGTGATATTATTTGGGTACTTGTGACTGGAAAGCATGCCCAGGGGACTTTCAGCTGTGCTGTTTCTGGACAGCTTGGGATTGGGAGTACATATTTTCAAGGAAGGTGCACACACCGTTTGTTTCTAATCTCTTATCTTTTGTAGGGTTTTCTAGTCTGTATTGATCTTCTGTTCTCAGAGGAACTTGAAACCATGATGTTCCAACCCCCAGCCGTAGCATGTCAGCCTAGCACTGAAACATTTATCTGCGTTCTAACGATGCCAGAAAATCAATGGCTCTCATTCACAGGAGTGACTAGTGCCATATTATAGTTCATTCGTTTCTAGTTTTCTGTTGCTCTTCTCTCAGCTCCCAGCTGCAGTCTGTCGGTCTAATTCCATACTGCAGTGGCTGGTTATTTAGCTGGGTTTCCAAGGAAGCTGCCGGATGGAAACTAATTTGCCATCCAGTGTAGTTTCATGAGCAGAACTGATGATGAATGTTGTGAGTGTTCATCGTAATTGCTTCGGCACCCTACGTACGTACTCCCTTCCGTCCCAAAATTCTTGTCTTAGATTTGTCTAGATACGGATGTATCTAATACTAAAACGTGACTTGATACATCCGTATTTGGACAAATGTAAGACAAGAATTCTGGGACGGAGGGAGTATCAACGATCAAGACTCTGCTCCCCTGACTGACCGACGGCAGCGCCTCTTGTTTTGCTTTCTCTGGTTGAGCAGCAAGTGGATCATCTTGGCATAGGGTCGCCTACTAGTATCACTGGCCAATGCTTAGCAATGTCTGTGGTCTGGACCGAAAATGCTAGACCTGCGTACTAATGTCAAATCAAAGACAGCTAAATCGCCCCATACGTAAGGTACGTAAAGACCTTTTCGTACATGTAGCATTGCTGGGTCTGGACAATAGCCCGTCTTAGGTTTGGACGGTGGTCTATTGCATCTTTTCGTGGACTGCATCCGACGTAGGCACGTAGCAATATATTGGAGTGCATTCTAAATTTGTTTTGTGTTTTAGGCATCCACACATTTTAGTCGAGTGTTATGCCTTTGCTACAAGTAAAAATTAAACGCAGCAGTGAAATAACAACAGTAGGAAAACATTGAGAAGAATCTAGTAAAGGTGGAAAGTATTTTTTTTAAGTGCGTGGAATAACAAGTAAGCACTTCCTTGCTTATTCCAATAGTGATTTTTACCTTGCACACGTGTCACTAAAAAGACAAAGCATGAATTGCAGATCAAGCTTAGGCTGGTTGTAATGGGGAGTATCATATACTAGTATCATGCATATGATACTAGTGTATGATACTACCTCCCTAATGCATAGTATCATATATTAGTATCATGTTGTACTTTATTTATTGTCATGCATGACACAAAGTAGCATAACATTTAATATGATACGGTATCATGATATAATACTACACCCTCTCTTTCTTCATTTAATACTATGACGCCTCATTAAAATTGTCTAGTTGGCATGCATGATACTAGCTATGATACTACCGTTACGACCAGCCTTATTCATTTCAGCGGCGGACTTGGGCCGGACTCGATGGTGTAGCTGCCCAGGCCGTTCCCCCGCTTCTACCTAGTTTTCTGCACCTACACAGCTACTCCGCAGTAGGCCTTGAGCTTGTCGTCATGGCGACCACCCTCCTCGGAGACGCAGAAGCGAACGAACTCGTCGTAGTCGTAGTCCCTGAACCGGCGAGGGTGGCCGCCGGCCTCGTCCACGAGCTCGTCGCGCACGCGTATCGTCGGCTCGCCGGGGACGGAGAAGAGGATGGCCGAGTACCTCGTCGCGTCCCCGCCCACGCTTACCCGGTGGAACGGCGCGTGCACCCGGTCGTTGGACCACGCCTGCATGCATGCGCAACCCAAGCTCGGAGGTTAGTCGATCTGTGCTAGTATGGTCGATGGAGTGGAGCGAGCACTTGCCGTGCGTACCCGGAGAGCGTTGCCGGCCATGACGACGAGCGACGCCGGCGACGGCCGGACGAGGACCCACCGCCCGTCCCTGGCCTGCATCTCCAGCCCGTCGACCTCGTGCTGGCACACCACGCTCAGCGAGTTGGTGTCCTGGTGCGACCCGTACCGCACCTCTCTCGCCCTCTCGTCGGCGGTCGGCGCCCCGTACTCTGACATCCGGAACAGGTGCCAGAAGGGCGCGCTCTGGGCCTGGCCCTCGTCGACGGCCACCCCGAGCCCCTCCATGACCATCCGCCGCACCGCCCCCTCCAGCTCCGCCGTCCGCGCCGCCGCGCCGTGAACAGCCTCGCTGCCGTCGGCGCGCCAGAGCAAGAGTCAGATCAACCAATCGATCCATCTGGCCGGCAGCCGGTAACCTCTTACCTAATCGACGGGGGAGAGGAAGTGGTAGGTACTTACCAGAAGGCGGCGTTGTCGGCGGCGGGGAACAAGAGGTCGGCGAAGGCCTGGACGGCGCCCAGCTCGGGCCCGCCGACAATGGCGAGGCTCTCATAGGCGTGGAGGCCCGGGAGGCCCCCGAGGTAGCCGTGGAAGGGCTTGCCGGGCCCGTAGTGGTTGCGGCGCTTGGCGTCCACAGGCAGCGCGAAGAGCGGGCGGACGGCGCCGTCGAAGAGCGCGGCGCGCTGCGCCGGGGCGAGAGCCGGGTAGTGCGCGTCGAAGCAGCCGAAGGTGGCCAGCGCGTCCATCACCTCCGCGCGCACTGCGTCCCACCGCCCCGTCCCCGGCGCCGACGCATCCACGCCGGAGAAGTCGATCTTCGGGAGCTCCACGGCACCCATCTCGGTCGATCTCAGCTGGTCGGCTCGGCTGAGAGTCCGACTGACTGCGATGGATGGATCGAGTTCAACGCACGTAGCCGCCACAGTTGACTCCTTGTGCATATGAAAACGGAAAGATTCCATCTCCCGGAAAAAGAATAATGATAATGGACCAATCATTTTCATTTTGTACTGATTATAAATCTCAAAAATCGGTGACCAAATTTGTGCAGTTGCGCATTATTTGGCCGGACCACCAGATGATAGCATAAACAAAAATTATGTTACTATCTCGTATACACTTCCGTGCAAGAATGGGAGAGGAAATGTGCAGCCACATTGAATTGTTTTTTTTTTTTGAAACGAAGGCAAAAGTTTTGCCTCATCGATTAGTTAAGAAGAAGAGAATTGCCTGGTTAATTTACGAAAAAACGGGCGAAAACCAATACAAACGAAGCACGAACAAACTACTCCCACGACATGAAACCCCACAACCATACAGGCGGCCTGTCAAACTCTCCAAATACACAATATCCACAAACCCCTTCACTGCTACTACACCGAGTGACTCCCCACGAGAACACCTCGACACAAGACATCAAGCACCTCTCAAACCACAACGACAACCCAAACAAAGAGGACAAGCCGAGAGACCGAAGATCTTCCATCAAGCAGTGGTAGACACCTTGCTTTTGGCATCATTTTTGCATTTGCCCACCTTTTTTTGTTTGCCACATTGAATTGTTGTGTTGTGAGAGAGAAGCGATTGATCACAGGGCTCCATTATATTTCGGAACCCACAAGTTCAAGTGCCGGGAGAAGGGAAATTGTTCAAGCACTAAAAGTGATTTTTATTTTACTAATGATCAGGTAAAAAGAGGTGCGACACTGATGAAGTGCATTAGGTGGAAATCTTCAAGTCTATGATGCACCCGTTGTACTGTGTTAAAAAAAAAGTTCATGGTGCTCCGTGGACTGTAACCCATGAAGATTTTAAGTGAGAAATGGGTAGTTTGTAAAATTCTATTCCCTTGAGTTCACGGTGCACACAAGTAAGTTGAATTGACACGTACGGTCTTCAAGATCAGACAGAGGAAGAATGTGCCATTGCATGCTTGCAGCTATTAGGATTTCTGTTATGAATTATACAATCTTAGTTTGGTCAATTAGTATTATGTACTAAACAATGCATTAATTTAATAATCAAGTTTCTTTTTGGTAGATAAGTCAAAGATGAAACAAAAGACAACAACAATTAAAGGGATAAATTCCTTTTTCAAGCCAATTTCTTTGACTTCAACCTTCAACATTACCGGCGTAAAAAATGTAAATCCATACAAGGAGCAACCTATTGCAAATAACAATACTTATTATCAAGAGGTTGTGGCATTGGGAGAAGTCGCGGAACAAAGTAGAAATGGAAGCACAACTTATGAAAAGGACCCTGTAAGGGCCGACAAATTTATGAACTCCCTCCTGATACAAAAGAAGAAGCATGGCAATTTTGTATTCAGAAGGGTGTTTATCAACCATGCATGAGAGAATGTCCATACATGATCATTTTAAAATTTGGAGAGCAATTGTACAAACATATGCAAAAATGGTTGCAGAAGCCAGACTAAACCTTTAAGTTTTTTTTTTGCGAAAAGGATCAAATTTATTATAAACTTTACCGAAAGTTCAAAACATCTCGAACATAATAAAAATTACATCATGACTCTGAGACCACCGAACGACCACTTTTGCCGTCAAAATGAGCAGCTGACGCGCCATTGTTGTTGCTCCCATACCGGAGCCGGCTTGACCTTTGTCGATGACTAGAGGAAAGTCTTCATGCACGTGCCCCTAAGGACCAGCGCCCTAAAGCCGCAGTCGTCACTGTTGAATCCTTGTATAAATCTGAAGCACATGCCACCAAATCTCCCCACATGACAAGAAACCCTAATCTCACCTCCCAAGGAGATAATGGGAATCTACGCTGGAGCTCCGTTGCCAACGTCCAGATGGACGAATTCGAGGAGGACGGAGTCCGGAATACAAACTCGAAGAAGAAGCACTGCCATCCGCCCGAGCACCACACCCACGAAGACTAAAAACACTAATCTAAACTACTAACCAGACTGAAGGCACCGGGACCCCCTCCAGCCGCCGGCCATCGTAGCGACGGGTAGAGGAGAGGTGAATCCATGGGCTCGCCGGTGAAGTATGGAGATGAGAGTTTGCCTTAGCCGCCTAGGGTTAGGGAGGAAAACGAAAGAAAGTCTATAACAAAAGCTTTAAGTGACAATTGATTCCGTCAAGTAAGCAGGACTTTCCTATTTTAAGAATGACAATATTATACAATATAGTTTGGTAAAGAACTAGCAATTTCTTTTCTTGGTGATTTCATGAGGTGGTTAACATTTCAAGCTTGTGCTTACAGAGGTAGTTGGCTTACTCCTCCATTCCTAAATATAAGTCTTTTTAGAGGTTACATTATACATTACATACGGAGCACAATGTGTGAATATATACTTTAAAATATGTTTATATACATCTCTATGTAGTTCTTATTGAAATCTATAAAAGGACTTATACTTAGAAATGGAGGGATTCTTATTGAAATCTCTAAAATGACTTATATTTAGAAACGGAGGGAGTATTAATTCCCTTGACCGGCTGAAGTTGTTGCCTTATTATATCAAATATACGACGTTTTCTTGGAAAATGCACAAAAAATGCGAACTATACCTACTATATCGTGCAACAAAAAACTCTTTGTTATTTTCTCGATGGGTTCAGACACAAATTATAGAAGAAAAAACGGTAATAATAAGTTATGCTATGTATAATGGCAGACGAAGCACGAGATGAATTAAAATAAATAGAAAAAGGCCTTCGTTTTTTCATTCCTCTCATGTCTAAATCCTGGCTCCGCCCTGTTCCGGACAGCTCTACTCCATCAGTTGACCTGACGACAAGAAGAACTAATTTGAAGATTGGTTAATTCGGGAGCTGAGGATGCCACCGATCGGCGCTAAACCTGTAATGTCATTCATTTTTACCGCCTGGATTGTATAGAGCTACTTCAAACACGCGTGGCGGGCGACCAAACACCAGCATCATAGCTTCTACTCCCTCCGTTTCTAAATATTTGTCTTTCTAGATATTTCGACAAATGACTATATACAGTGCAAAATAAGTGAATCTACACTTAAAATATGTCTATATACATACGTATGTAATAGTCTATTTAAAATCTCTAAAAAGACAAATATTTAAAAACAGAGGGAATAGATTATGAAAGACAGCTATAGTGTACGTACACGTTAATACTGCCAGCGTGCAGCCACGTGCATGCGTCGACAGTGAAAGATGGACCCATGCGCGCGCAAACGTACAATTCATTCCATCTGCAAAACTGATCTTCACGCTCTGTTTGTTTTCTTTTCCGTCAAGCACCGTGGAGGATGATGCTGTTAGAGCATCTCCAGCCGGTCCCCCAACAAACCTTCCCAAGTCATTTTTTAAGTGCCGGCGGGCAAAAAACGCCTCAGTCAGGCCCCAGAGACCCGTTTTCGCCGGATTTCGTGAAATTTACGGTCGGCACTACCACCCCAAACCCAGCCCTCCGGGGGGCAGCTGGGGACGCTGGCGCCACTTTTTCCCCTCGTGTGGCCCACCTGCAGCCTCCCCTTTCCCCACGCTCTTTCTCCCCTGTCGCTTTCTCCTCGAGCCCCACCTCTCTCCCCGCCCGACCGACCCCGCCTCGGTGCCTCCCCGCCGCAGCTTCGGCACACAGCGCCCGGCCTCCCGCGCCGCCCCCGCCAGCCCTCTACGGCCGCGCGCCCGCGTCGGACCGCCGCGCCCGGCCTCCCGCACCGCGCCGCCCCGCCAAACGAAGAGCTCGCGGGCTTGGCGGGGCTGCGCTCGAGCTTGTGCGCGTTCCTTGTGGCGCTCCTGCGCGCGGTCCGCTCCGCTCCAGCCCCATTCCCGGCGCACTTCAAGGCCCCACTTCTCCTCCCCTTCGCCCTCCCGGTCGGCCGGTGCTGCGGCGAGATCAGCGGCGACGTTGTCCAGGCGGACGCCGCAGTCGACGACGAGGAGGAGGCGCTCTGCCCCATTTGCCTCGACGCCATGGAGCCGGGCCGCGTCGTGCGCATCCTCCCCAGATGTAACTGCGCCTTCCACCAGGACTGCGTCGATCGGTGGCTAGCCATCTCGCCTGGGTGGCCGCCCTGCTCAGCCGCTCGGGCCGCACGGTCGAGCTCGTCCGGCCGGACAACGCCATGTCCATCTCCTGCAGGACCATCGTGCGCGCGCTCTCGCGCTTGCCTGTGCATGGCAAGGAGGACGGCGGCGAGTTCGCGTGCAAGTCTATCCCCAAACGCAAGCTGCTGGCGCAAGTTGGTGCTGCCGCGCGCGCTGCTCTGCTGTTGCTGGTGCTCATCAAGGCGGGCGAGCGACGACGAGTCGCGCGAGATGGCGAGGACTGTGGCGGGATCATCGTGGTGTCTTCCTCGCCTCGCCGTTGAGCTAGTGGGGGGCACAACGAGTGGGAAGTTTTTTCCCCCCAGGCCAAAAATTTCGCCGGTAGCCCCCCAGGCGGCGAAAAATATGCCTCCTAGGGAGGCCAACGCACTAGTAGAAAAAGAGGCTTCCGTCCAGCCCCATTAGTCGCGAAACTGTAGGAACCGCGACTAATGAAGTCTTTAGTCGCGGTTCGGCAGACGAACCGCGACCAAAGGCTTGGGCCAGGGCGCTCGGTGGCCAGCTGGTGCACGTGAGGGGCTTTAGTCGCGGTTGGGCAGGCCAACCGCGACTAAAGGTGCCCAAAGGCCTTTAGTCGCGGTTGGCCTGGCCAACCGCGACTAAAGCTCCTCCCCTATATATACCAGTTCAGCGCACTCACTTAGCCATTTGGTGCCACTTCTCTTCACAAGGGGGTGTAGGTTTGCTTTTGGTTCCTCTTATGCACACAAGGTGTTTGATGAAATGCCCAACAGCGTGAAACAAACATGATATGAAGTGTTGGAGCCACACTTGAGGTTCCTCCTCGATCGCGGTTAGCAACTTGAACCTTTCATGCATGTGTGTCATTGATAAAATATGCATGTGTGTTGTTCATTGTTTAATTTCTATTGTTTATAGCTAGTTACTTTAACAAATGCATGATGGTTAATTATATATTTTATATTATAATAATG